ATATGAACAATTAAAACCCATGCCATAAACATATCGTAACACCATTACGTCCGAAATCAACTGCAAGCAAGCAAGCTAGCTAGCTACTCAGCTCATAGCTTAGCAGCCGGCTCGGCCTTGCCCGCCGACGAAATCTCATTGTACAACAAACTCGTCAGGAAATCGGCATAGTCCTCGCCCGTCACCTGGCCGGCAAAGTACCGCGCCGCGAGCTGGAACTTGTTGCCCTGGGGACCCTTGGCGGCCAGACTGTCAGCCTGCTCTTGCAGGAGACGCAGAGCGTACGCCTTGTCAACCTTCTTGCCGTCGGAGGTGGTGATGCCGTGGTGCGTCCATTGCCAGAGCTGACTGCGGGAGACTTCGGCGGTAGCGGCGTCCTCCTGTTTCTTTGTTAGTATACATTCTATGTTGTGCGTGAGAAAAAGGGAAGGGATTGGGGCGTACCATCAGGAAGTTGATGGGAATGCAGCCCACACCGCGGAGCCATCCCTCCATGTAGGACAGACCAATGTTCAGGTTCTTGCGGATGCCGTCTTCGGTGATCTTGCCGGGGACGTTGGTATTCAGGAGATCGTTGGCGGTGATGTGGACGTCCTCACGGCGGACAAACAGCTGGTTGGGGGTGGGCATGTAGGTGTTGAAGATCTCCGAGGCGATGGAGGCCAGAGCAGGGTGGGCAACCCAGGTGCCGTCGTGGCCGGCGCGCACTTCACGCAGCTTGTCGGCACGCACACTCTCCATGGCCTTGTCGTTGGCGGTGGGGTCGTTCTTGATTGGGATTTGAGCGGCCATGCCTCCCTTCAATATCATTAGCATCATCTTCACATAGCACCTTGATGTTTGAGGGGAGGGGGCCTACCATAGCATGAACTCCTCTGCGGTGGCAAGTCTTGATCAACAACTTCACATACGCATCCATAAACGGCACCGTCATGGTAACATCCGAACGATCCGGGAGCACAAAGTTAGGGTGCTTGCGGAACTTCTTAATGAAGGAGAAGATGTAATCCCAACGACCACAGTTCAATCCAGAGCTGTGTTCACGCAACTCGTAGATAATCTCATCCATCTCAAACGCCGCCGAGATGGTCTCAATCAGCACGGTACCACGGATCGTTCCGCGCGGCATGCCAATGTAGTCCTGAGCCAGGTTGAAGACGTCGTTCCACAGACGCGCCTCGAGGTGCGACTCCATCTTGGGGAGGTAGAAGTACGGGCCGAACCCGCGGGCAACGAGCTCCTTGGCATTGTGGTAGAAGTACAGACCAAAGTCGAACAGACTGCCGGAGATGGGGGTACCGTCGACAGTGAAGTGCTTCTCGTCGAGGTGCCAGCCACGAGCGCGAGCAATCAGAGTGGGGAGCACGCGGTCTGTCCGCAGCTTGTATTCCTTGCCACCCTGTGTGAAGTCGACCTGGCGGCGGATGGCGTCGTAGAGGTTAACTTGGCCGTTGATCATGTTTTCCCAGGTGGGGGCGCTGGAATCTGTTTATTGTTAGATGCTATGCTCTCTCACATATACTCCGGGAAGGAAGGGCGTACCCTCAAAATCAGCCATGTATGTCCAGACATCCGAGTTCAACGCGTTGACGACCATCTTGCGATCTGTGGGACCGGTGATTTCCACACGGCGGTCGACGAGTCCCGGAGCCGGGGGAGCACCCTTCCAGGCATCGTTCTCACGAATGTGCTTTGTCTCGGGCAGGAAGTCGGGGAGGTGACCCTTGTCAATCTCGGCCTGGCGGTCGATACGGCGCTGGAGGAGGGCCTTGCGAGTAGGGTTGAAGGTGCGGTGGAGGATGGCGAGGAAGGCACAGGCGTCCTTGGTGAGGATCTTGCGAGCTTCCGAGCTCACATTGCCGAGGATGACGACGTCCTTGAGTTGGGTGTCCACTTGCACCATGGTGGAGGATGGATTTGAGAGTCTTTATCTTATCGGGAAGTATATGAGTGGGGAGGGTATACTAAGATACTATCCGGACCGGCAGGATAGAAGTACTGAAGATGAGATGATATGATGAAGAAGGAAGTAGCGAAGAAGACTTTCAAGAACAACCAGCACTATTATAAGCTACCAGATGTGGAGGGAGAGCAAGAGAATATATGTTCTACACAGCGACTACGTCAGTCCCACCATTCACTTCACTAACCGCGGTCCATGGGGAGTCCCGATAAGCTGGATTGAACCCAAAATGAGGGCTGCTCCAGAGCTTCCATTCCACGTGACTTTTCCGCGGGAAACCCAGCTGCGATTCGGCCGATAACGGGCGGGGCACGCCGGCTACCGATTCCGACTTGCGGCTTATCGTTCAGGCCGATTTACTTCTTACTCGATACATTCGAGTACTATACTCTCTGTAGTGACCACTATATTAACGATACTATCCTGGAAGGTCTCGAGATGATTTTCCGACGTGGGTCGGTACTTGCTGGCTCTGTTGCAGCTGCCCAGATACTCACACTGCAATTGTCCACTCCAGTAGCCACTCACGCACTCAACCGAGGATGTTGATAAGCTCCTAAACTCCCCGCAGGCCCGAGAGCCCTTCCTCCCAACCGCGGTTCGCCGCCATCCTGCTGCCCTGTACTACTCCTCTCCTCCGTCCGTCCTGGAGCAAGCTTCCTGCGGTCCGGCCATCGCCTACACTCGACCGACTTGTCCCGATTGTGATACGGTGCTTTTTCTGATGTTGCGGAGCTGTATCATTGCTTCAGTGACTCACCCATGGCTGCAAAGGATTTTTGAACATGATGAGAATGCCACAGCTACTCTATGTATGCTCGTTCAATTCGCTACGCACATGCTATACGTCTACTATGAAACAAGGATCATAAGTACATCCAGTCATCGCTTCCACATGTGAACGCATGTGATCGCTGTCAACTCTAACTCCCCGCTGCTCTCCCGACCCCAGCTCCAGCTCGGGTTGCCACGGATTCGTCTGCAGCCAATCTGTACCGTCCGATCTGGACCAGTCTGGGCAAAAACAGGGAAGCAAAATAACAAGGTAACACGGGCTTCTAATCTGCCAGCTGCTGGCCTGCACACGCAGCTCCGTCCACCCGGTTACACAGTCTCAATATACCGTCGGACCTCCCTATCAATAGTCAGTATCCTTCATCTCACTGCAGCCCAGCTCCGCCACTCACCAATCCGTGACGGCCTCCTCCCACAAGCGCACTTCATGCTCCCGCGTGCCCCCAAAATGCTCCACAAACGCATCGCCAAAGACCTCCCGTGCGACACTGTCTTTGCGCATGAACGCCGTCGTGGCTTCCCGCAGCGACTTGGCTAATCGGACCCCCTTATCGCTTGCCCCGCCCATATCCTCGCCCTTGGACAGCGGCGGAACCGGAATCTCCAGCTTCTTCTCCACACCCCGCCATCCCAATGCAACAACTGCTGCTAAAACAAAATGCGGGTTTGCGTCAGCCCCGGGTACACGCACCTCCAGCCGGGTTGCTTTTGCGCTCGCCGTAGGTGGGGTGATAAGCCGAATCGAGGCCGCCCGATGCTCCAGTCCCCAGGAAACCGTAACCGGCGCCCAGAAGTTCTCCACCAGCCGCTTGTAAGAGTTCACCGTGGGTGCAAACATTGGCATGATATCAGGAAGACCAGTGAGGATTCCGGCTAGGAAATGTCGCCCTAGATCGGAGAGATAAGCCACATCGGGATATGGCGGATTTGGGTCGGGCGTGTCGCGGATGAACGCATTCTTCCCATCGCTCGAGACCAGTGAGATGTGCATGTGTCCGCTATTCCCGGGTAAACCCTCGCGTGGCTTGGCCATAAAGGTGGGTGTGATGCCGTGCTTGGTGCCGATCGACTTGACGACGTATCTGGCACGGTCAGTTTGATCTTATGTAGCTCGAAGTCACTCACTTGAATAGACCAGCTTTGTCCGCCATCTCTTTGGCCTCTCCGAACTGTAGTGCCTGCTACCATCAGCAGGGGACCATAACGTCACCCAATGCAACCTACCGCCTCATAAACACCGGGACCGCTCTCTGTATGCCAACCCTCGATTTCACAATTGAACTGCTCGCACGCGTCGAACACTCCATAATAGTAGCCTTGGTTGTGGATGGGACGGGTCAGACTGTACCCGAACATGCCCTCAGTCAGCGGGGGCAGGGACTCGACGGGGTTCTCCTTGAGAAAGGTTGCTGTGGCCGACGCATTGCGCTCGGGATCGGAGTGTGCTCCTGGCGCGCGGAACTGATAGAACTCATACTCCGCTGGGAAACCGTCAGCGAGTCTCAAGAAGAATATGACGAAAGCGCTTACCCCCCGCCATGGCACGATACCCCGCAGTCTCCGCCTTCCCCAGAGCGGACTTTAATAGCCCCCGCGGACAAGCACAGACCGGCTCATTCGTATCGGGATCCAAAAAGCTGACCAGGAAAAATGGTACATTGTTCTCCCACGGAATGCGACGGAAACTGCTTAGATCCGGAACTGCCACGAGATCGCGGTACCCGTTCTCTTTGTTGCTGATGGTCAATTCCTTGAAGTATGTGCGGTCATGCATATCCCAGCCAAAGATGACGGAGCAGAAGCCGAAGCCATCAGCTACGATGGAGAGGAACTTCTTCTTGGAGACGAGCTTGCCACGGAGCATGCCATCGACGTCAACACCGGCCAGCTTGACCCGAGTGTCATTCTGGAGGACATGGGCGACGTTCTCGAGGGTGACTTCGTAGGGTGGGGTGGTAGAGGACATGATGGTGATCGGGGTAATGACACCAGCAGCTTGAGGGTATACTGCTCGTGGAGGGAACTGACCAGCAGTGAAATTGGGGGGATGATGAGGGGAATGACGGTGAGGAGGCGAGCGGGACGCAAGGACGTCAGCCACCGCTGCTTATCAGTTAGAGGACCGTCACGGGGCCCGCCATGCTGATACTTGAAGCCACAGTGATTGGGATGTTTGCAGCCCTTATCATCTGTCTTGTCCAATGGAGACAGATACAGAGGTTGATTGACAATGAATGATGAATATTCAGCCAATATTAAACCGGCACACGAGCAGATGCAGTGTGCATGGTGGCCTGTGTGCCTGCGTGCCTGACAGCTGCCTGCCTTATCGGGATCGCCATTAGATAAGCGGGCTCCACTGTCCCGCATTCCTGCTTCATCATCCCTACTTCTCTTGCATATCTCTCTCTACTCACTTCTTCATTGTAATTCTCCTTGTCCGAGCTGGTACTTCCTCAATCGTCTCTATCCTTAATTGAATCTACTCCATATAAATTAGGGATATTTCAAGGTATGCCAATCCCATATAGTCACCCACACTGCCATCCACTCTACCCCGCACCATCCCCACTATCCCCCATCACAGCTAACACAACCCCAGAAAACCATGGCATCCGCTCCAAGAGGTCGTCTCCAAGGCAAGAATGCCATCATTACCGGTGCAGCTGGGTAACTTACACACTTCTGAACCCTCAATATCTCTCTATCGACCATCCCACTGACCAACCCAGCGGCATCGGCCTCGAAACCAGCATCCTCTTCGCCCGCGAAGGCGCCAACATCCTAATGGCCGACATCTCCGCCCCCGCCCTCGAGAAAGCCCTCGCCAAAGTCAAAGAAGTCGTTCCCACCGCTTCCCGCGTCGAGACCATCAAATGCGACGTCTCCAAGGAATCCGACGTACAAGCCATGGTCGAGTCCCAGGATAGCTGGGGCGGCACCGACGTCATCTTCAACAACGCGGGCATCATGCACGCCGACGATGCCGACGCCGTGGACACCCCGGAGAAGATCTGGGATCTGACGCATGACATCAACGTCAAGGGTGTGTGGTTTGGATGTAAGCATGCTGTGCTGAGTCTGCGTCGTCACAAGAAGACCAAGGGCAGCATCATCAACACGGCGAGTGTGGTCGCCTTGGTAGGAAGTGCTACGCCGCAGTTGGCGTACACGGCTAGTAAGGGTGCTGTGTTGGCGTTGACGCGCGAATTGGCTATTGTGCATGCGAGGGAGGGATTCCGGTTCAATGCGCTGTGTCCGGCGCCGTTGAAGTTAGTCTTCCTTTTTCTTTGTTTTTGATGCTGGTGTGGTTACTGACATGTTGTAGTACTCCCCTTTTGCAAGATTGGCTGGGTGACGACAAGCCCAAGCGCTTCCGGCGGGAGGTGCACTTCCCTACTGGTCGGTTCGGAGAGGCTATTGAGCAGGCTCATGCCGTGGTGTTTTTGGCTAGTGACGAGAGCAGTTTCGTCAATGGTAGTGACTTTGTTGTGGATGGTGGAATGTCCAAGGTATGTTTCCCGTTAGTTATCCTTGATTGGTCATTACTAACTAGATGTAAAAGGCGTATGTTACTCCAGAGGGACCGGCCACTGCTGCTCCTCAGAATCTGGGGCATTAGTATAGCCATCCTACGATATATGAATTGAATGATCTTTGAAATCCGGCTTTAAAAACCAGTACTACACTCTCAATCACAACAATCAATCTATGTAAATCAATTCATCTCTAATAATCTATCAAACAAGTCTATAACCACCATCACCACCACATGAAAAACATAATCTGTCAATTAAATCTTCTTCAACCCCAACACCCCCTCCTCCCGACTCAACGTCGTAAACCGACTAAACCCCCCAGCCCCCTTCTCCTCATCCACCCCATTCCTCCCACTCCCACCAACCCCCTGAATCGTATTACTCTCATCCCCCCTCTTCGCCGCCCACCTCCTCACAAAAACCCTCTTAACCCACTTCCACCCCTCGACACCACCCAAAAACAGACCCGCCTCGACAAACACAACCCCCCACTCCCACCCAATCCCAATATGCTTAAACACCACATCGTTAATCACAGGGATATACAGCACAGGAAACGTAAGCACGAATCCGATCACAATGCCCCAGAAGAGGTACTTGTTGCGGTAGATATCGGAGAGCCAGCCTGTGTATTTATTTCTAGGCTTAGAGTTTGAGGAGGTAGGGGTAGAAGAGTCATGCATATTGAACAGACTGCGTCGCAAATGCATCATCTCCCAGGCCAGGAGCAGCGCAAACCAGGTCATGCAGACGAAGGTGGTGGCGCGGGCACGGAAGACCGTGTCGCAGGGGGTCGAGTAACTACTGTTGCATTCTGTTGCGAGGTTGCCGTCGCCCCAGGCGAAGAGGACGAGGGTGAAGGCGCTGAGGCACAAGGCGGCCATCCAGATGCCGTAGACGAGGGTGTCGATGATAATCTCCGGGGTGAAGATGCCGTTTTTCTATTCATCATCCATTATTAGTATATGGTGTTATATGGTTATGTTAATGGGGAAAAGGTGGGGGGGCATACACTCTGCGGCGGTCTATCCATCACATCACTCGCCGCCATCTCCATTCCCAGTCCGATATCAGGCAGTCCAGATGTAATCATGATAATCCAAAGGATTTCCACCGGTGCGATAGGGAACACACTCTGGCCGTTCTCATCTTTGAAGACCAGTCCGATCAGTAGGGTTAGCGCCAACCCTACGTTCTCGGCAAGTAAATGCAGTACGAATTTCTGGATATTGTCGAAGATGCGACGACCCTCTTCGATACCGTTGATGATGCTTGCGAAGTTGTCATCTGTTAGGACCAGCTCCGATGCATCTTTCGCCACGTCGCTGCCTGCTTGACCCATTGCGATGCCCACGTCTGCCCGCTTCAGCGACGGCGAATCGTTCACTCCGTCGCCTGTCATCGCGGCGTACCGGCCGCGGCGGTGCAACGCCTCGATCATTCGCACTTTGGTGTGCGGGGCACAGCGCGCGATCACGGCGGGGAGGGTTGGTAGGGCGTCGATTTCGGACTCGCTGAGCGAGTCGAATTGGCTGGCTGTCATGACGAGGTTGTCGGCCACGTCGCGCGAGAGGAGCTGTGCGTTAGCGGGGATGATGCCGACTTGGGCGGCGATGGCTCGGGCGGTGCCTGGGTGGTCGCCTGTTACCATGTGCACGGAGATGCCGGCGCGGTGGCATTCTTCGATGGCTCCGGCGGTCTCTGGGCGAGGGGGGTCGTAGAGCCCGATCAGCCCGGCGAAGGTGAGGTCTTGTTCGACGGTGTCACGGGGTGGGACGTCGGTGAAGGTGGAGGAGCTGGTGCGGTGGGCGAGTGCGAGTACGCGCAGGCCTTCGCGTGCCAGTGCTTCCATGTTTTGGAGGATGGTGTTGCGGATGTCGTCGGTTAGGGGCACGGGTTCGGAGGTGCCGGTGGTCCAGACGATGGATGTGCAGGCTTCGAGGACGCGTTCCACGGCACCCTTGGTGAAGATCACGTCGGTGTCGTCCCGGCGGAAGATCACGGACATCTTTTTGATGGTCGAGTCGAAGGGGTACTCGGCCTGCTGTGTCCATACGGGCTTGTCGCCTGCGGTCCATCTTTCCCGGCCCCAGTCGAAGCGTGCGGCGAAGACCTGGATGGCGATGTCGGTGGGCTCGCCACGGGCTTGCCATTCTCCGTTTTCTTCGGAGCGGTGCACGTGTGCGAGGTTCGCCATAGCTGCGACGTCCAGATAGCGCTGCAGCAGCGCACTGTTTGTCACTATCTCTTGCGGCGTCTTGGTGTCGCCTTCGCTTTCTCCTTCTCCGGGCATGGCGTCGATGACCTTGAGCTCGCCGTCATACGGGTCCAATGGATCCCGGGAGACTCCAACTGAGACTGTACCCAGCCCTGGTACCCAGGCCTTCTTAGCCACCATGCGTCCTTGGGTGAGTGTGCCCGTCTTGTCGGAGCAGATGTTCGACACGGCGCCCAATGCCTCGAGGGAATCCATCTTCCGCACAATCACGTTCCTCTCGACCATCTGCTTCGTGCCCATAGCCATGGTGACCGTCAACACGACCACGAGACAAGCGGGAATCATGGCCAATCCGGTAGCCACAGCGTAGATGATCACTTCCTTGTCATCGCGCATGTCATTGGCGCCCATCACAATTATTGCAAATACTACTGCAATTCCAAACAACAGCAGCGCCAGCTTACTCAATTTCCGCTGAAGTGGCGTCCCCACGTTAATTCCCAGGAACCGACCCACTGCATCCGTGCATGTCAATGTCCAAGCCACCACATACCACCGCTTCTTGGTCTCGCCTTGAGGACCGCGACGGACGGGCCGGCGCCGCTGGTTGCCATTCTCACGGAGTGCCGCAGCAATCGCACCGATCTCGGTTTTCATACCAGTGCTGATCACCACGCCGCGCGCGCGGCCCCGGGTGACAGTGGAGGAGCTGTAGGCGATGTTGAGACGGTCGCCGGGTCCAGTGTCAGCAGGGAAGGTAGTAGTGGATGACTTTGTAACGGGGAGGGATTCGCCAGTAAGAAGGGCTTCGTCTGTTTCAAAGTTCATCGTCTCCACTAGTCTATATTGTGTTAGACCAATATCTCATTATGAATGTATCAATGGAGTGGCAAATGTATGACGCATACCGTAAATCAGCCGGAACTGTATCTCCCACTTTCAAATCGACCATATCACCCACGACGATCTCCTTGGCGGGAATGGTGCCTGTCTTGCCGTCACGGGTGACGACTCCTGTGGGTGAACTGAGGCCGCGTAGCGAGTCCATGGTCTTCTCGGCGGCGTAGTCCTGGTAGACGCCTACGATGATGTTCAGGGCGATAACGGCCCCGATGACACCGCCTTCGATCCAAGATTCAATGCCGAAACTGACGGCCATGGCGATGATGAGGACCTGAGCAGTAGAGCATCTTAGCGAGATGAAGACATGATAGGAGAAGTGGACAACTTACCAGCATCATTGCGTTTGCCACCTGGCGAATGATAATCTTCGCGAGGGAGATGCCCTCGTCCCCTTCGAGTTCGTTGGGCCCCCATTTCTGAAGACGAGACTTTGCTTCCTGGGTGCTGAGACCTTCTTCTGAGTTGACAGAAAGCTCTTGCAAGACGGAAGCATAGGGAAGGGTGTGGGCGGGTGCGGAGAGGGGAGAGTGGGAGGCGTTGGAGGCAGTCTGAGACTGTTTCTCAGTGCCCATATTGGGGTATCTGTGTGTTGTTTCTGTGTCTGTGTGTAATGCTTGGGGTTTTCTCTACTAAAGGTATGGATTCACGGAGGTGTCATGTAGAATGTATCCTCTATGGAATGAGAGTCCATACACGTGAGGCGAAGTAGTGAATTGATCTGATCTGATCTGTTCTAGATCCTGATTCTTGCTTATTTCCAATATTAAACTCTCTCTTCGACATGATCCCGGGGAATTCATCCTTCTTATAAGTGTTTCTGTATCGCCGGACCTGGAAGTAGTCTTGGCATAGAGTATAGACACCCAAGGCCGAGCAGAACTGCCCAGCCCGCCAAGCGCCAATCACAGAGCCCCCGGAAGCGATGCCTTGGCGCCAACCTTGGGCGCGAAGTCGGCGAGTCTCGCCTCTTTCGGGATTATGACGCATACGACCACAGCATTCCGCCACGTGAGCCAGTGCGAGCATCGAGACCCGAGTTCGAGCGTTATGATTGGTGCAGCGGCCGAGTGGCCCCAGCGGAAACGCCAAGGTGTTCCGGAGCGCGGAGACTTGGCGCCTCCTGAGGCAATAATACAGACTGCACCGCAGGGTGACTGTCCGGTGGCCTTGGCGTGCTGCTGCGCGGGGGTCTGAGGGCCACTCGCTGGCTCAACTTTAAATGCAGCCGTCTCTGTCCTCGGAGACCTGCCCCAATTCCCCCGCCGGTGATGGATCCCATTCCCAGTATCCCCCCATGCAACCATCCCCACCACCTTACCCCTGCTGACGCTGCTGATGCTGCTTTGGAAGCTGTCGTGAGGAGTGAGTCGCTGGCTTCGAGCCGATTTATCCGACGCGTCATCTCCTGAGCGCAGTTGACCTATCGATCTTATCTTTGTTGTTGTTCCTCCGTATACTTCCGATGGCTGGGGATACGCACCACACCGGCATAGTGGGTGTCATTGTGGGTGCAGTGGTGTTGTTTGTGGCCTTGAGTACGATCCCATTGTGAGTTCTAGTGTTCCAGTGTCCCCTATTGGAGGCTCAACTGCTGCATGCATGCCTGGTGGAGGATGCTGCATGCTGGTTGAATTCCATTGTTTGGATGTATCTAACCTGACAGTATCGTGCTGTACCATCATCGTCGACGAGCAACTACCAGACGCAGTAGCGAACTCCGCAACCTCACCGATGGCGGCATAATGCGGCAGGTATCGGTCGATCGATGGCTGGACGAGCAGACACACGCGAGCTGCGAGGATCGGTTATACGCTCAGGAATCCTGGTAAGGCTGTTCTCCTTTGGGTGGCGCCAACGCTTGGCCGAGATGCGGGGACACATTGCTGGTAGCGGTCTTGGCCGGACTTGCGTTCCATAGAACTGATGCATGGCTTCCTTGGTAGTCCCATCTGTCTGTCAACCCTAGCAGCGTCCCAAGATACCCTTCCTTTTCCCGAGCCGGCCTGGGTCGCACCATCACCCCACGACGAGCCCAACCTGCATGACACAATGGAGGCCGATCGAGTGTCTGGGAGGAGAAACATCCTGGTCCTCAACCGTTGCCACCATGTCTTCCATGCGTCCTGTCTCGCATCATGGTTCGAATACCATCAGTATAGATGCCCGATTTGTCAGACATCATATTTCAGCGAATAGCCCGCTACAACATTGCAGATAGTCAGCGACCGCAATGGAAAGTCTTTGTTCCCGCGTATATCTTTTGCCAAGACTAGTGCTATGGTTGGCAAACTCTAAGTCTGTTCATGTCCATTTGACTCGTTCGAACAGGGTCGTCACCATGACCACGATGTCACTTCAGAACCAAGCATGTTAGTTGTGCATGGCAGACCCTGAATGAGTGCGTTAATGTACGACCACTAGCTGCATGGCTAGAGCGTAGCATATGTTGGCAGTCGGGGAAGACCCCACTATTTGGCTAGGATCCTCTTCCCGAAACTTTCTAGAACACACATCAGGCAGATCCCCGGGCTATTCTAGCCTTATCATCGTTGCCACTGGGATGCAGACAACCTATCGACTCACTTCAGCGTCTAACCGAGTGCACTACTGTGCGCACAATGGCCTTCGTCCGTGCGCAAATGGATCGCCTCCTTGGATAATCTCGTCAAAGCGTGCGCTGACTCGGCTGTAGTTGAGCCCGTAGCGACCAAGCTCGCGCAGCCGAAATGACACCCAGTCTTGGTATATTCTGTCGGACGTGGCAATCCCCGCGATGAAGAGCGGCCACGTGATGCGCACCATCAAGTGCGGTCTGCTGCGATGTAGCTTCAAAGAAAGTTCCAGAACCTGGGAAACGGCATCATGCAGGGTCATCATCCCTGCACCCTGCAGTCCTTTGGCTAGGGTGTCTTTGAAGCACAGGTGAAAGTACACAATTGTGCCGTAGTAAGTAATGGCTGCCCAAAAGATCGTTTCCATCACGCGACGTCCGTCACCTACGACTTCACACGAGGGCGCAGACTTGGCGGAACTCAACAAGGTGTCGAATTCCTGATCAGTGGATTAGTCGCTTTCGGCCATCCATGTACAGACATGACAGGTCATCTGCAGGGATGAGACGGATACTTACATCAGATAATACGTTGAGTTCATTAATGATCTCAAGGCCCGACTTGATTGAAGGATTTCCTTGCCGAAATAACTCCGTGATCTTGAATTGCAGTACATGACTTCGATGATACAACGATAGCCCCGGCATATTCTCCATATCATCCAATTGGGCGGTGGTGGGGTAGGAATCGCCCCAGAATCGAGACGGGGACTGTCTGCCAATCCTATACAGCTCAGAAAGACTCAATCCCGCATTTCCTGCTTCGTCTTGCATAAAAAACCGGAACAGGTCGGCATCGAGCCTGGCAGCACCTGGGCCAGAGAGCAAAGCGCCCGGTGTGAAAAAGTACAGAGTCCAAAGCAGAAAAAGAGGGACCGCTGTATGTCGAAGTCTGTCTTTGGATAAATTCGCAGTCTGTTGCAGCACAGGGCTGTCGCACGCGCTCATGCTCTGGGCCTCATCTGCGACATTACATAGTGCAGTCGGCGAACTTGTCTCTGCATTTGCGACATTTGGAGGCTCTAGTTGTTTGAGTGACGGGACGACATGGTTGAAGAGTAGACTCTCGATCCCGCGGATGTGAATATTGATTCCAGCAGTCCCGCTGCCAAATCGGTTCTCATAATCAATCATCATCCACAAGGTAATGAAGATGGCTTCGATCTGCGCCGGGGACTTGACGTCTGGTTTCAGCGCTTCCCGAAGACCAGAGAGAGCCCGGCCATAGTGCAACCTACTGTCCATGTCGGACAGACTCTCAATGGTACATTGTCCGTCCGTCTTGTCCCGGTCGTACAAACGCGACCGGTTGATCTCACTCGACGTAGTCGCCAACATCATGCTCATAACCATGGGTTCTTTGACTGCAATTTTATGGTATGCATAAGACACGGTAGACCACGGCCAATGCTTACCAAGGATCACGACCAGCGCAGAATCCTGAAGATAATTCAAGCACGAGCGATCAAGGTCCGATATAACCAACGAATTGGCCGCTTGGATGCTGTTCCCAGCACCACCAGTGGGCGATAAAGAACGCGCAGGAGACGGGACAGGCTGACAGACCATCTGCGCTTCCAGCGGGCGAGTGTCTCTTCCGGGCCTTTTAGCTGGACCCCGGGGGATGGGGCCGCCCTTCCACTCACATACGATCCGGGCCGCAGTGCAACGCCGGCACTGTGGCTCCTGCTGGCCAGGAACGAATAGTTTCTCTTCGTCGCATTTGACCTTGCGAATTCTACACGTGCGACAACCTGTGGTGCAGTAAGTCCGACCATTCTTAGAAAGAGACACCGAGAAAAAGCAAACCTAGACAATTGGCGTAAGACAGAACTGGTGGGGATCCTTACCGGTCTTGGACCGAGTCCTCCTGCCGAGCCCATGCATCGTCTATCGGTTCTATCGCGTGCTTGCCGTTGCTCCACTTACTCGCGGTGTGCCTGTCGGGGAGGAATGTCCTGTCAGACTCGACATGTAACCTGGTCAAAAGTAGGGCCATTAGAGACACCGAGCCGAGACAAACCAACCAGGAGGACATCAAAAGGAGAGGGGGGAAGAGAAAATGCGGAGAATCGAATCGCCAACCGATGCTCTTTTTTCCCTCCTGCCGCCATTCCTGCCGAGCCTCGCCCGCCGATTGGCTGCATCGGCACCGGTCATGTGACCTCGGTATCGGCAATTGTGATGGCTTCAACTGTACCAAATACAGTAGTAGATAGTCTAGTAGTAGTAGATTAAGTCACTTCCTATCACTTATCAATTAGATACCGATAACCCCCTCTCGGATCTCCGCAATCAATGCGGAGAACCATCTCCACCATGCACGATCCAGCTATAAAATGCCGTACATGCCAGTTTCCAACTCTAGCACCCTGAGTAATACAATTCAACCCTACCTCATACTTAGTACACACCAGGCACAACCATGCAGCTCGAAGCACCACAACAACGCTTCATCACCAGCGTCGAAGAAGCCCTCGACAAACATGCCTCCGAGCTAGAAGACATCAACAAGAAGGCAAGCCCCAATACACCCTCTTACCAGCCATAACTCATATACTAACTAACAACCCTCAGATCTGGTCCACCCCGGAACTAGCCTACACAGAACACCAAGCCCACGACAACATCTGCACACTCTTCGAAACCCTCCAACGTACCAACCCATCCTACCGCATCCAACGCTCCGCCTACGACCTCCCAACCGCCTTCGAAGTAACCTACACGCACGGCAGCAGCACCGGCGGCCGCACCATCGTCTTCAACGCCGAATACGACGCCCTCCCCAACATCGGGCACGCCTGCGGCCACAACCTCATTGCGACGAGCTCCATCGCCGCCTTCATCGCCACCTGCGAAGCCCTCAAACACCAAGCCCCAGAGGACTCCAACTACACCATCCGCCTCCTCGGCACCCCCGCCGAAGAATCCGGCGGCGGGAAAGTCCGTCTCCTCGACAATGGCGCCTACAAGGACGTCGACGCCTGTCTGATGGTCCACCCTATCCCCATGGCCCCGGGCCATCCGGAGCTGCTGAGCTTGGCCACAGTATTACCCGGTGGGTTTCTAGCGAATGACAAAGTCACCGTGACGTTCACGGGCAAGCCGGCGCATGCGGCCGCAGCGCCGTGGGAGGGCGTGAATGCATTGGATGCGGTGGTCGCGGCGTATGTGAATATCTCGCTGTTGAGGCAGCAGATTCTGCCCACGCAGAGGATTCATGGGGTTGTGGCTAGTGGGGGGGATAGGCCGAATGTGATTCCTATGTCGGCATCAGTGGATTATTATATTCGCTCGCCGACGAAGAAGGGATTGAAGGCGCTGACGGAGAAAGTGGTTAAGTGTTTCGAGGCGGCGGCGTTGGCGACGGGGTGTGGGGTGGAGTTTGAATGGTGAGTTAGCCAGTTCCTACGGTTAATGCTTCTGAATGCTAATGTATGGTGGGTAGGGGTGTCTCATACGACGACCTCAAAACCAACAATCCTATCTGCGAGAGCTACGTCTCTGTTATGCGCGCTATGGGTCACCATACGGTGATGAATAACGCTGGGCAGTCTGGTAAACTTACGGGCGCGTCTACGGATATGGGTATGTCAATTTTTACACTAATACATCATACTAAATACTCTCTGAATCAGGTTGATTAATGATGGTACTTACAGGAAACGTCTCTTACGCCCTCCCCGGCTTCCACGGCCTCTTCACCATCCCAACAGACGGCGTCAATCATACCCCGGGTTTCACCAACGGTGCTGGTTCCCCGGAGGCGCATAAGCGCTGTCTGGCTTGTGCGGCGGGGATGGCTGTTGTGGCATGTCAGATTGTGACGGATGATGAGTTTGCGAGGAGGGTGAAGGAGGATTTTGAGGTCGAGGCGGAGGAGTAGTTGGTTTAGCTTTGGGGGTTTAGGGTTATGATGATGGACGTTGTTTATCTATTCAATGAGTATGAATGATTGTCATGACATGATGATTGCTGGTCTGTGAGTGTTTGTGTGCAGCGCAGTAATAGTAAGTTTTATGTTCATCTATAGTAGTTGAGGGGTAAATTGGAATCCTTCGATAGACAACAAGCGTGCGATTTGAGCAACAGTAGGGGGTTTTTTTCCGCGATTCAAACTTGAGAGTGCTACTTAGTTATTCAGGGGACTTAACACACCTCGCTCAGTACTTATCTTAACAAATTATCAACGCAGTAACTCCGTCCAAATAACTCGATATCCACATCATATTCCATATACTAAATCACCCCCCTACTGGATATCTACCCCATCAATAAACATACCTAAACCCTGGATTCTTCAAATCCGTAACATCAGCCAACACCTCCCTCTCCTCCCCTTCCCCGATTCCCATCCCCATCCCCATCCCCATCCCCATCCCCAATCTATCCCTCCTTGCATTCTCCCACCTCAAGTACACCACAAACGCCACAAGATCCACTACTACGACGGCCAAGCACACAAACACGGCTATAAAACCACTCTATATATACCAACCAACTTATGTTAGTTCATTTCACAAGTACTGCTTGTCCAGTTGGTTGGGGTCAAACGCACCTGATATCTCGGCGCCTGACTCTCAAAAAACAACTGCGGGCCGATAATATTCCCCGCGCAGTACATGATAAAGTATATGGCGCTGACGGTGGCTCGCTTGGTGATACCGCCGATGCTGGCGCTGATCATGGCCATTGAGAGGGGTAAGCTGACGGAGTAGAGACTCATGAGGATGAGGCCGATGTAGCGGGAGGCGATGGGTTTGGTGCTGTAGACGAGGGCGGTTCCTAG